CCCCCCTCCTCCCTCTGTCCCCCAGTCCAGGGCAGGACTGAATGTTGGATGCGATACACTGCCAGGCACCTTGGGTGCCCCAAAAACTCAACCAGAGCAGGCCTTCTCCCAGAAGTGTGACCTACACCGGTTGCGATGGCACGGCCACACAGCCACATCCCGTCCCTGCTCCCTAAAGCTCCTGCTTCCTCTTGCCTGGATCAGACAACCCCACCCCACCCCACCACCTGCCAGATACTGCACACACGACCCACTGGAGGCTAGGAAGCTGTGACTATTACTGACATGAGCTGATGAGCCCTCAGTGACAATGGATGGAGATGAGAAACTAAGTTGTGGAGGTTTGTCACACAGATCATCAGTGATGGAGCCGGAACTTGAACATGAAGATGCCTGACTCCAAGCCCACGCAATTAACCTTTAAGGTTTAGCATCTCTCAGAAAGTCACATGCAAATACGCCTGCCCTGGGCAGCCTGATAGGACAAGGCTACAAAAAACTAGACCCCCTCCCTTCAAGAGGTTGGCACAACCCCAGGAGCATGCAGTCCTGTGAGGCCACTGAGAGAACCTCAGGGTTCTGTCCTGTCTCCAGCACCTCAAAACCTAGTCTGAGAGCAGCCTCGCCTCCCCGATTTAGCCATCAAGGTCCTGAATTCCTGAGAGGACCGGACCATGGGAAAGCTCTCACAGGGTCCCCTGCTCAGCTAGAATACCTCCCCCATGCTCTGCCTGCCTGACAAAGTTCAGCAGGCCTGGAGTGTACTTGAGACTCAGTCCTTGGCTTCCTCCCACCCACCCCAGGAACACAGGACAAAGGGAATGTTAGGGTTGGAGGAAGCAAGTCTGCTCACTTGTCACCAAGATTAAGGCCCCAGTTTTTCCTGGTGGGGCTCCCAGACACTCATATCCAGCTCTTCACCCAAGTCTCAAGAAACACAGCTGGGCTAACCACTGGCACCCAGCACAGTTGGGAAGGCCCTGCTCTCAAGGGAGAGCAGACCTGGGACAGCTGTCAAACATACCCATGCAGGGGGGTTCTTGTCTGAGACTAGGGCATGGGTTTGTGGGTAGCTGCAGCTGCAGGCCTGAACACACCTGACTCACCTCCAATTTTTTTTTTTTTTAAGACAGGGTCTCACTCTCTGTTGCCCAGACTGGAATGCAGGGGTGTGATCATAGCTCACTGTAGCCTCAACCTTCTGAGTTTAAGAGATCTTCCTGCCTCAGCCTCCTGCTATGACTACAGGTGCTTACCACCATGCCCTGCTAATTTTATTTTATTTTTTTTGTAAAGGTGGGGTCTCGCTATGTTGCCTAGGCTGGTCTCAAACTCCTGGCCTCAAGTGATCCTCCTGCCTCAGTCTCCTAAAGTGCTAAGAAAACAGGAATAAGCCACTGTGACTGTCCTCCCTCCCCCAATTCATATCAGTCTAAAATTCAGACCCAAATAACTGCCCCTTTCCGAACCCTCACCCATAATTTATTCTAGACTCCAAACCCAGGAACAAGCTTTGCTCTTCCTCCCCCCACTCCCCACATCTAACCTTTGAACTCTGTGGACTCTACCTGAAAATTATCTCCAGAATCCACCCCCCCTCATCACTGTCACCTTATGGTCCAGTCTGCCACCAACCTCCCTGCCAGACTCTGTAACTCGCTGCTTATCTACCTCCCTGCTGTCCAGCAAGTATATGAAATCAGAGCACATCACACCCCTCTCTTCAGCATCTTTTTGGTCTTTACTCTGCAACCCTCCTTCCTCTCAGGCCACACTGGCCCTCCCGCTGTCCCTGAACTCACTAGGAGTGTTCCCACCTCAAGGCCACTGCACATACTGTTGCCACTGCCTGAGACACAGGCCAGACCTTCCAGCCACAGTTTACTCACTCTAGTCAGAGCTCAGTCCATCCGGCCCTCCTCAGTCTTCCCTGAATATTGCAACCACACCCACCCCTCCCCCTCATTCATCCTGTCGCCGTACTTACCACAACCTGGCACTGTATGTATGTACGCG